ATAGACGACAACAGTGCTTCGTAAGATCGACGAGCAAAAAACTGGACGTAACAGGACGTAGTTTGATTTATTGAAGTTATCACTTCCCCTTGGTGTGAAAAATTCCCCATGCAGACGCACTGTCATGCCGTATACCAATTCAGCAGCGGAACATTGAGTATCTGCCCTTAAACTCGTTCCGATACCTAAGAGGACGAGCGGTTATCTTTCGTTCCAATTGTTGTTTTCGTGTGCTCGAAGAGCACTTTTAAGTTGGCTATGAAACCGTTCGACCAAGCCATTCGAGGCTGGGTGGTAGGCGGTAGTGTGTATACACTCCGTACCAAGCAGCCAGGTTAGCGAGGAGAATAATTCGGACTCGAACTGTTGTCCTCGGTCAGATGTGACAGTCGAGGGACAAACCTAATGCGCTATCCAGCGTTCTACGAAGCGGTGAGCAACAGTTTCCGCCGTAAGAGAAGTGATGGGAATAGATTCGGGCCATCTTGTGAAATGACCGATGCATGTGAGTGTGTGATCATACCCATGTGGTGCTGGCAATGGTCCTACAATGTCATTATGAACATAATCGAAGTGAGCATCAGGCGTAGCAATTATGCCGATGGGGAGGCTACATGCTTGTGCAATCTTGATCGTTGACTTTGTAAGCATTGTTTTACCTACATACGGACATTTTTATTCATGGAAGGCCATACGTATCGTGCAGTGATGAGACGTAATGTGGCTGCGATACCTGGATGAGATAATCCATCTAGGGCATCGAAGGCAAGATGACGATGAGCAGAATGTACAATGGGTCGGGGTAAACCAGTAGAGTTATAGAATACTCTCATCCTGAGTGATGTGACCAGAGAATTTTATTTCTGCCTTGCCCAGTTCACGCTTGTCTGGGTTATTTACTATTCGATTGGAATAAGAGGGTAATATGTTGATAATGTTCATATACGTTCGATGATGCGATAACCAGGTCATCAATATAGACGTCAACAAAAGCAAAGTCTCGTACTATGCTGTCGATAAACTTCTGGGAAGTTTGAGCAGCATTCCGCAATCTAAAGGCATTCGTCAGAACTCAAAAAGACCGAAAAAAAGTCGTAATAGTAGTTTTCTCAATGTCCTCAAGAGCGACTGGGATCTGATGAGATGCTCGTACCATATCACTCTTAGAAAAGTTAGTCGTGCCCTTAAGAGATGCCGTGATGTCATGTACTTGGGGACGGGATAGCGATCGAAACTTGTCACTAATTTTAAGGCTCGGTAGTCGCCACATGGTCGCCAGCTTATCCCATACGTTTTGCGAAGCGGAGTGGTGAGGCCGAAGGACTGTGACAAGGAAGAATAATACCTGTAGCTAGTAAATTATGAAACTCACGTTTAGCCAAAGCTAAGTTGTGCGATGCCAGTCGGCGAGGTTGTGCCGTGACTGGTGGGCCGCGGGTGACGATGTGGTGAACCACACGTCGGGTCACCGATGGAGTCTCCTCGAGTGGTTCATTTAGCTGGGGAAATTATTCCAGCAAAGCGTAGAAAATATCACGCGAATGAAATGCCTTTGTAATTCGGTACGCAGTATGCACTCTAGGTAAAAACTCCAGGGCATAGGCGAACATTTGACGCTGAATCTTGATGCGGTGGACCCCAAAGTGAGACACCGGTGCCGCGAACCAAACCTCTGGGTCATGGGGAATAAATGCGACAGGTCGGAAATTTAGAACCTGTATCTGCGAGTTTGCTAAGTTTTCCTCATTTTTAAGTCAATCTACCATTTACAAATGCTGGTATAGTTATTATATAAACATAAATATATATATATATTAAACAACAGTTAAAATAGTAAGAAAATGGGATATATAAATGATGTACTCACCGAATTTACTGAGTATTCGAAGTTAAGTCTCGCCAGTATAGCGTATCGAATAATATACTACTTCGCGCAATAACAAACGTTAATCCCTTTAGTCTGAGAATCAATTAAAAAGGCGATTCCAGAGGAAGAATTATATTTAATGCTAGCCTTGTGATATCGAAGTAATATTGACGCCAGAGGACATACACTGGTGAACATCTACGCAGGAGACGTGCGAAGAAGAAAATAGGATTAACGCGCTTGGCGTGCGAGAGATAGGCTTTAGTACATAACAATTATTGTCAGAATTAAGTACAATAATAAATGTTTATATTTCAGCAATAGTGTTTTCTTCGTAAAAGTACACTACAACACTACCATGTAGAACAATTGGAAAGGGATCAAGGAGGCATTCACTTCAACAAGTCAGGATGTTCTGGGCCACACTAAAAACAAACACAGGGATTGGATCTCTGTTGAAACTCTTGAAAACATTCAAGAAAGGAGGAACAAGGAGGCCGCAATCAACATCACTCATACAAGGCACAAGCTGTATACGCACAAGCAAACAAGCAAGTGAAGAGAAGCGTGAGAACGGAAAAACGTAAGTACGTGGAGGATCTGGAAATGACGGCGGAATAAGCTGCAAGAGAAGGAAACTTGAGACAGTTGTATGATACAGCCAAGAAGTCTGCTGGAAACTATCGTAAACCTGAACGACCAGTTTAAAGCAAGGAAGGCAAAGTAATCGTCATCACTGAGGAACAGCGCAACAGGTGAAACAGGTAGGACAAGTACCAACAGACTTAAAACAAGGATATCACATCACAATACCAAAGAGAGGCGATCTCAGCAAGTATGAAAACTTGCCTAAATCAACGTTATTGACTAAGAGAATGCATGAAAGTAGACATGACAATACTATGGAGACTTCATAGACACTATAGCGTCCCTGAGTGGGTGTTCAACATCATTCGAAATTCTTACAATGGATTAAACTGCAAAATTGTTCACGGTGGACAGCTGACAGACTTGTTCGAGCTGAAGACCGGTGTCAGACAAAGTTGTTTACCCTCACCCTTTCAGTTTCCCCTGACGATCGACTGGTTTATGAAGATGGCAACATCTGAAGAGAAACATGGTATACAGTTGACAGTCAGGATGCAGCTGGACGAGATGAACTTCGCAGACGATCTGGCTCTTCTATCGCATAAGCAACAACAAATGCAAGAGAAGACGACCAGTGTAGCACCAGCCTCAGGTCTCAATATACATTAAAGGGAAAGCAAGATTCCCTGATACAAAATAAAATGTGCCAACCAAATCACACTTGATGGGAGTGCTTTAGATGACATAAAAACCTTTACATAGCTGGGAAGCAATATTGACGAGCAAGGTAGATCTGACGCAGATGTGAAGGCACGGATATGCATAACAAGTGCTGCATTTCTACAAGAGAACAACATCTGGAACTCAAAACAACTGTCAACAAACACCTGAGTCATCATTTTCACTACAAATATCAAGACAGTTCTACCGTGTGGGTCGGAAACTGGGAAAACTACTAAAGCCACCATCCAGAAGATACAAGTATTTGTTGACAGTTGTATACACATCGGATCCGTTTGCCAGACACCATCAGCAACAACCTACTGTGGGAAAATACAAACCAGATCGTAGTAGAGAAAGAAGTTCTGGAAGTGGATAGAACACACATTGAGGAAAGCACTCAACTGAATCACAAGACAAACCCTCAAGGTCAAAAAAGAGGAAGACCAAGGAGCATTCTACGCTGAAGAAAGGAGACAGATACGAGAAGAAATAACAAAAAGTGTGCACATTTGGAAAGGGCGGGCCAGGATAGAGTAGGCTGGTCGTCTGCCTGTGCTTCATGAGGGATTACAGGCATAAGCAATCTAGTAATTAAGTCAACAAAATTTTCTACTCTGCTGACAATGATATTATCGTGTGACTCTCATATTCGCTGATCAGTAACTCCTTTTACTATCTTTTTGTAATTTTAGGCTCTCTTACGTTCGAGGTATATTTTAAAAGTCCGTTAAACTTAGCCGTATGTTTCAAAACTTTTAGTTATACACTTTCCACGAAACCAATCTTGCAAACAAGCTTTAGTCCTTAGCTTATGTATGATAGGCTACATTTTCTTTTACTGTATCACAGTGCTACTTATTTATCTACTGTTATGAATTATGACATGATTTTCAGGTATAACAGACAAGTGCGGACAGTGAAAAGAATTTTCTGTTTTGATGTATGTGACTTTTGGTGTTCCTACTCGGGAATGTTTTGTGACGCCATGATTTAAACGATGTGGTTCTAAAATACATGAAGAAAAAGAAGCGGCATACCGAGATTCGCAAATATAATGGCACTATAACTTATGAAATGTGTCAATAGTTGTGAACTTTGTGCTGAAATGTCCTTGCATTAAACAGGATCGAAACGAAATGAGTGGATACGACTGAACTGAAACTACAGTTAATTTTAATTTTTAATAGAAATAAATATCTATATGGATCAATTCTATCTATTTCAGAAGAGACAGTCACTGTAAGAGGGAAAAATAATTATTCGTTGAATTTGATTGACCTAGTCTACATTGCATTGAAATGATTCTGGAATATCCAAAGAGTCGTTTAGTCAACAAGTCCTGAATACGTGCCAGCTCATATATTATTTAAATCTGACCGGTTTATAGAAATAGAAATGAAATGAAAAAATCGGTGATATTCAGTCACTTGAATTGGCCACAAATCAGAACTAAGGTCATTCGAAGGTGTTCAAATAATGTATCAGAAAATCACATACTCTTTCATGTATTGCATTCTAAAATAATCATAGAGAAGTATGAATTTGAAATAATCTTGTTCAAATGCATCATTACTTTAAATTTTACTCCTTATTCCTCCCTAATTAACCTTCTTTGTTAAAGCCATTCACTTTCTTGTGAGAAATACAAGAGATACCATATAGCATCGCGACCGAAAACCATTTCGAATTATTCATAATCAGATCACAAAGAGGAATCAGTTTCCTCCTCCTGTCTAATACTGCTTGGATTTTGTCGTTTGAATTGTTTAACTGTATTAAAGATAATGATATTATTTTCGAGCGCTGGTTGCGTTTTTGGAGGATGTCGACCCGGGATTGTCAACAGAATATTCGTGTAGCTGTACGTTGTCGGTAAGTTTCGTGCATTCAATGTATCGACTTTAGCCAGGCCTATCAACAAACAGGAGCTGGAGAAGGGCGTTCGATCATGTGTGGAATGTAGCCGTGAGAAAGTTACAGTGAAAGATAAAAGTATGTCTAAGGTTTTCACCTTTGACCATGTCTTCAATCAATACTCAAAACAAATCGATGTTTACAAAAGCATGGTCGCTCCAATGATTGATGAAATAATTATGGGCTACAACTGTACGATTTTTGCGTAAGCCCTCCTACATTTTACTAACTTTTACAGCTACGGCCAAACAGGTAGTGGTAAAACATTTACAATGACTGGTGAAAGATCTGACAAACTTCGTTATGCATGGGAAACGGACCCATTGGCGGGAATTATTCCCCGCGCTTTAAGTCACCTATTTGAGACCCTGCAATCTAATGTATGTTGCCTTCAATAAACACTAATCATCTAGGGTTCTGACTTTTCTGTTCGTGTTTCTTTCCTAGAAGTTTATAATGAGGAACTATTCGATCTTCTCTCTGCCAGCGAGGACGTCCCGCGTCTAACCATATACGATGATATAAACCGAAAAGGCTCTGTTATTGTAAAAGGCCTTCGAGAAGTAGTAGTTTTGGACAAAGATGATGTTTATAGTGTCATTGAAAGAGGACTTGCTAGACGTCAGACCGCCTGTACCCTTTTAAATGCCCAGTCGAGGTACTTGAAATTCGCTTCTTACTTTTAGCCGTTCTCATTCCATTTTTACTGTTACAGTACATATAAAAGAGATAAACGCCATCACCAGTGAAGAATTTCTGCGTATTGGAAAATTGCATTTAGTGGACCTTGCTGGAAGTGAGAATGTTGGGAGGTCAGGTGCTGTCGAAAAGCGAGCTCGTGAAGCTGGCTCGATCAACCAAAGTTTACTGACTCTGGGTCGTGTAATAACTTCACTTGTAGAACACGCTCCTCATATACCATATAGAGAAAGTAAACTTACACGTTTGTTACAGGTAACCAAAAAGTTTAGTGTCATCAAATTTGTTTACAAGTTTAAACTCATGTAATCCACTTTTTATCATTTTGCAGATAGTTAAAAAGGTTGATATAAACCTTGTGTTTATTAGTGAGTCACGAGTACATACAAAGATATCCACTTAAGCACTTTAAGTATTCCATATTTCTGAGTTTTAGTCTTATGTATACACCTTTTAAATGTTTGCTTCAGAATATACATTTTCTCCACTAATTTTCGGTCATAGTAAATCATCCAGGATTTCATGGCTTCCGATTTTCTCAGTTTTCTATTTTGCGTTGGTCTGTTCCATACATCCAGTGTCAGTAAACGATGTGAAATATCGCTTTATAGAAGAGTTATACATAGTCGTCTTTCACACAATATTAGTTCAATTTAGTAAACTTACATTAACGAATTATTTGGGCTATAGGAGAGTCTTCGGTGTGACTGTAAATTAGCAGTTTTATGCTTTTCTCTGTATTGTTTCGTACTGTAGATAAAATGACAAGAGCAGTTGTACAACGATCTTAAAATGTTTATGATTGATGTGGATGGATTTTTGTAATCTACCCACATGCATGTTTAACCGTTTCCAATTGTTCTAGGACTCACTTGGAGGACGTACTAAGACCTCAATAATCGCAACAATAAGCCCTGCAATAACTTCTCTTGAAGAAACTTTATCAACTCTGGATTATGCCCACAGAGCCAAAAACATTGAAAACCGACCAGAAATCAACGCAAGACTTAATAAAACCGATTTGGTAAAGGGTTATAATGAGGAGCTAGAACGTTTGCGCCGAGACCTTGAAGCTGCCAGAACAAGGAACGGTATTTTTGTGAATGAGGAGAACTACCAGATGTTGCAGTCTCAGCTCGCCCAACAAAGAATTCGCATATGGTAAGTCAATCATATTATTTTTGCCAGCTATGCTACATTTAAATGGCAGTATTATTGTTGGCTTTTTCACTACATTATTCATATAGTTGTTACAAAGTATCCTCGAATTCAAGCTTAGTCAGGCGGGTTATCACTAAAATATTCCAACTTAACGTCATTCTCTAAACAATTAATTCACTCATACATGTATTGTTGTTTCTTTCAAACAACTTGTATATTTATTGATTCTATCTTCCCCCAGTGGAAGGTGCTAGAAAAGGTCGTCCCATAAAACGTCGCTTCACCTTGATTCATGGAAATATTAACAACCGAGATGAACAGTGGTTCACTGGTTAGAACGTTTGAAGCCCGTGTGCCTACTTAAGTCTAAGCAGCCGGCTAGTATCATCAACCGTCACACCAAGGGTGTGGATCGTATCCAAGTATTTAGTTAGGTAGTTGATTTATGAGTGGAATGACGTATATTCTCACTTACCATTGACACTTCTCGGCTGCTCACATTGTATTGGTGACTAAATCTATCTAGGAGCGTAATTATCGAGTCTAAAGCTACCATTTCGTAATATACATATTCCAGACTGACTGTTTGGTTTTGAAATAGGAAAATCGATACTATTTATAAGATTAATACTTTGTTACTCGTTGAATATAGTAGGTTAGTAACGTTAGGGATCCGCGAAAAACCCTACAACTTTTACATCCTGGTTCAGTAGGAAGAATGACCTCACCCTTAAACCTGGAGTTAGCTGTTTTTGATTGTACTAATTTCCAAATGATCCCATTAGCTTTGTAAGACTTGGAAAAGCATGTGTTTGCAACAGTATAAAACGCTCGGTTGTTGAGACATACAATGCTGATCCGTACATTAATGTAGTCAGCTACAACCTGGGAGTTGTCCCTAATCCTTACTTTGTCTAGTATTTTTTAGTCCGTTTAGATCGCCTTTGATTACATAACAAAACAACAAAACAAATTCGAAAAACTGGATTGATATCTACTGTCTGTAATTTCTGGGCACTAACGGAACGACATTTAAGTTCGTATTAAATTAGGTGTGTATGTCATACCATTCTTCATTTTTCTTATTGATACTTAGTGCTTTTTACATTTCAGTGAACTTGAAGAACGGAGAGAAATCTTGGAAGAAGAAATTGCTCAAGTTCAGGAGTTGTTCACTGTTACTCAGGAAGAACTCAGTGAAACTCGAATGCGTAAGGAAGAGGTGGAGAATGAGTTAATAGCTTATGAAAAAGATTTGGTGAGTTTTTGTTTTTGAATACCAGTGAGTTTTTATATTGCTATGGGGATTCCTTTATTTTGTCTTGAAAGTCTCACCAACCCTTCTGAGTTTGATTCTTACGAAATATTAACACGTATTCTAAAAGCTTTTACCAACTTACATAACCTGTTGAGTCGGTGAGATATTCGTATGCCACCCAAAAGGTGTTTAACGCGTACCAGTCTGCCTTGTATTACTTATGGTAATATGGCGGTAAAGCGTGGTCTATAAAAGTAAAAGATATATAAACTGCAGGTTTTTCACCGTAAATATCCTTGAAGCCTTGCTGGTATATGTTGACATGGGATAATGAGATGGCAAATCGACTAACGAGGTTGTGAGTTTTCATCAAGTGAAGTGACTGGGTTTTGTTGCATATGTTCCAACTTTTGGGATTATGACAACTCCAAATGCGAGGGGAAATTAATTAAAAAATTTTTGCATTGATTTAGTGTGATTTTTTCACGGTTATCATTTGACAAATTTTCGTTATATTAATTTGGAATGAATTTTCTTCCCTGACTAAAAATGTGTTTCTACTCATATCACTTATCCAGTACAAAGTTAGTAATTTGATTGTCAGTGCACTTTCCCTTCTGTTAGTTGATTCACTGTGTTGTGTTCAGAGAAAATTTCTGAGTTTGATGAGTCCCTGTAACCAATAGCCGTTGGATAATCGAATTGCTCCTTAATTCCATGTCCAAAAATACTTGTGTATAAATTTGAAATTCTCGCTCTAGTTAACCGGAAAAGATGATGAAAATAATCTCAGCGTATTGAAGCCGGAGTCAGGAATAATAGCTGGTAGTAGTCGATGGTTAGAGACCTTAAATGACATGGCTCAAAACCAGTTGCAATGGTGCAGGTGCATCCACTCTTTGTGTTATCCCAAATTATAAGCTCCTCATGACCATCTTTCTCGTATCAAATCTATTTCACTGGATTATACTTCTTCAATAATCTCTCCAAACCCTAATATCTCCGATTACTGCTAATACTTCTACTATCTCTACTACTATGAGATTCGAATTGAAAATTGCGCCTCCATGCTAATGTAGAATGGCAACTTGAACTGATCTACATACGTACGAAGTTCTACGTTGTAACTGACTGACGTTCATTAACTTGTCTCATTCTGCGCTTGCTGGTTGTTCAACTGAAATCAACTGCTGTCACAGCTTCATTTTCCCTTCTTTAAACAGTGCACCGTTGGTAGTTGTAGTGAAAACAGTTGTCAAGTTAGCTAGTATACAAAATTCGGGAATAGTCGTTAAAATATTCCGCAACAACATTTAACGAGTACGCCATGCCCATGTTATTTGGTAGACTAGTCTCTCGGTCCAGCTCTTTGGTAGTTGCCGTATAATGTGGAGTAACTTATGAATACCAATCTCATTCTGTGTAACCGTTGTTTTTGTTCTAGTCACGACCTTTGTCTTTTTGAGTTAACAGCTTTCTAAAATAAGAGAAATGCTCATATTAGACCTAGGTGCATGGATCATTATATATTATATTTGATCAACAAATTAGGTAGCATTCCATCATGTGCCGATTCTTCCATTGCATTCTTATGAAATCCCTTAACTTTTACTTTCAGGAAAATTTGCGCGTGCGTTTTTTGAAACTAAAATCTCGTTATGAAGAAACAGACTATCTACGCCAAGAACATAAGAAAACGGAATCGCTTCTTCATGAACAAGCAAGGTCATTATTGTCAACAACTGATTCAGCCATTAGCGATGTGAATGGTTTGCATCAAAAATTGGTTCGTTTATCCGACCTTGATAAGGAAAACCGTGAACGTCTGGATACTTTACACAACAGTTGGTTACCTGAGCGTTTAACCCCAATGGCACGCGACATCCATTTACTTGCTACACAGGTGAAGGACTTCTGTCTATTTGTTCGAGATAGTACAAGTAAGTTAAAATATTCGTATACTGCTCGTCTTGATAGCTATAATGCCCAACGATATGCAAATCACAAGACAAAAATGAAGCGTTGATTACGTTTATCACTGCACCACACACATCACAAAACCACTGGTACATTGAAGAGAAAGTGATATGCGAGTACCGAAGAGCTAGCCAGTGAGCGAGAGGACGAATGAAAAGGATATATTTATATATGTATATATAAGCCATCGAATTATTCAAGAGGCTAACATTAAAGCGAGTAAAATACGTGTAGACGGTAAGCCATGCTCATACAAGCACGAAAATAATAAAACTACAATGGTACAGATAAGTTATTGGGATACAAATGACTCAGTCCGTTAAATAGGATAATAAAAGGGCTTAACCAAATTAAATGTGAGGTACTACAGTATGTTTAAAAATATTTGTATCTTTTCTAGTTATTTTATGATTAGCGAGTTAATGTTTCAGTATTCAGGCTAAATTTCTACGTTAGTAAGTTTTCTAGTATTTCTTTTTAGGTAATTTAAAGGGAAAACTCATGCTGTCTACTTGTAATGCAGTAAAATTACAACGGGAGATGGTACAAAAACTGCGAACTTTTCTAGCCGATGAATGCATCACTGCTGCCAACCAAATTAACAAGTTTTCTGAAGAACAGGCTAGTGAAGCTAAGACTAGCCGTGATACTATACTAGTCCCGCAGTTTGAATGCCTTCAGAAGCTTGTTACATCTCTGTCTACTAATGCAGAAGACCTAGATCGATGTTTGATCAATCAGGTATGTACTCCCGCGTTTCGTTATATGTACGTCTCATTATCAGTTTATATCACTATACTTAATACAGATTGTTGTAAACCAAAATTTTCGAGTCCAAATGATATAACTTGCTCTACATATTATTAATTTACGAAGTAGAATCCTTTCTCCGTTTTATTAGACAGCAAACTGTTGTAACCGGGTTTATATTGATTCCCTTTAGAATTACCAGAGAGGGATTTATCAAACCCTACAATGCGTGTTGTAAATTTCCAGTCTGCTTGTTTTTTATATCATTGATCTCTACCTACTTGTATTTGAATCGATTTTCCGTAGTTTGATGCTTACCAAATATCAAATCAGGAATTGGATTATGTCATCAAACAATTAGACAATTTTGCTTCATTATCCTCTGATTTTGTGCATAATGAAATGAAACATGACATGGCCATACAAAATCAAATGGTTTCGTATAGAACGCAGTATGGGGAACTGCTTAATGTAAGTGATTATTCAATATAATAAGGATCTATGCAGACTTTCACAGAATATATTTACAATTTCATTAATGACAGGCTGTACTTGTAAATAGTATTGTTTGAGTCTTTAATCTGAAATTATTCTACGTTTTTCCATTGCCAAGTCATATTACCAAATACACTTTTATTTTTGTATTAACAGTTGTATTGGTTTCGATTGAATTTCTGTATACAAATAGAGGTTTCAGTTGAAAATTTTTTATAAATATGATACAAATAAAAGTCTCTTTTAAGTTACTAGTATGTGGTGTGCTTTGTGTTTTTATTCTACAACTGTACAACACTAATGACAGTACATTACAGGGAAAATTAGTTTGTTGGCTAACAATATTGAATGACTAGCTGAACAATGCTTATGTTAACAGAGAAAGATTTGATCAAAGAGAAATGATAAAGCTGTAAATAATTTGAAATAGTTTCGTTCTCAGCAACTTTTTCTTACACTAATTTGGGAAATTAAAAAATCTAGGCGCGGTAGGACGACATAGTTTAGTCTGAGGTTCGTAATAAAAGAAATTAACAAATAAGTTTGTGATCTGATATTAGCTACATTCATTTTTGCATTGTAGACTAATCCTTTGATTGGTATCAAGTGATAAAACTTTTGTTGTAGTAATTTAAACTGATGCTTTATGGTGGTACCGTAGTTTACAATTTTATGAATAATATTGATGTTATCCCTAAAAGTTTGCTCTCCATGCATTTTTTGAAATCTTAGGAATTGGAATCAACAACTAACAAGTTGAGAAAATTGATGATAAGCCATGATACAGTAAGTTCGTTTGATGGTTATAAACTATTTTTCCATCTATTCTTATACTTTATGATATGTCAGGTTCTGTCGTCGTTTATGTATTTTCTTTAACAGTTGCACATTCGGTACTTCCTGAAGTTGACCCATTTTCACCGGCATTTCTACTGCATAGGGCACTTGTACATTTTTCGAATTCAGGATCCAATTTTCATGCTCCGTTTCCCTAGAAAAACAAAATTTTTTTAACCATCCTTCTCCCTCTGATGCTATAACATTTCTCAATAATAATTAGCTGAATTGTTAATTACCGTCTTCATAAACATGACCATATTTGAGGTGTTTAATGGACTACTGATTTGGTGAAGTTTATAAAAGATCACTTAACTGTTGTACCATTTCTTCTTGTTTTTCAAGCTTGTTATAAAGGTTTCAACGTCTGAACATTGTGTTATTAGTCAAAAACATTCTTAGTGGAAATTTATGTGATCTAAAAAGCGGAAGTGTAAATAATGTGACGCTGAATTTTAATGTACAAACCAACAAAATGGTCTATTCCGTTTGATATTAAAGATGCGAAAGTATTGTCATACTTATACCTATCATTTTCAAGAGGGTTGTTCCTAATTTTTGAAATCATTGGTTTTCAGGTCATTAATTTCCAAGTAATGTTACAACCATTTTTTATATATTTGCAGATTTCAGATGAATTTTCATCAAGATCCTCTCGTCTACAGGAATTCTCTAAATCCAGTCAGAGTGAAGTTGAAAAATTAAAAGTGTCTCTTTCCAGTGAGCAGCAAAAAATCATGCATGATGTGCGTAAAGCTTACAATTCTAATATTTCGTCGATTAATCGTTTGAAAGAAGTTACATATACTATTTCACATAACCACGAGAAACTAAAAGAAAAAATGGAAAGTTGCATGAATAATATATCCAGAAACGCTGAACAGTTTGCTGCTGATGGCCTTTGTTCAGATCTACTGAAAAAAGCTTCAATTTGGCAGTCGGATGATGAAAATCGTAATGATTATAACTTATTTGATCATACGTCACAAATGATACACATCATGAGAAATAACCTATTTGATTCCCTTCAAGAACCTAGTCGTGTTCTTCTTGGCTTAGAAGGTGCAGGCAGTGAACATAGCACTGAGGTATGTTTCGAGGTAGTTTCACGTTATTTTAGTAATAATAAGCCTTTCAGTAACTTCTCACCGCCTCTTTTTATATTTTCATTCATTTTCAAGTTCAGTGAGAGTTTTCAGGCGATTGGGACGAATTTCTATGTTATACCAAATGAAATGGAAGATATATTGAAGAGAAAATACCATACTTATGTTCCAACAGGGGAAACACCTCAGTCTCGAACGTTTTCCTACCCCACGGAATTCGCTAAGACAGCCTCTTATCGCCGCATACTCAAGGAGTATCGTTCCAATAGAACAATTGAAGACATAAATAATTTAGCTGCAATTCCTATTCCGGATGGAGATCTATCATTCTCTGTTGATTGCAATGAGTCTACATTTATTGATGATCAGATAACAACTCTTCAACCTGAGCCTAACAAAGATGATTGTATCTCTGTGTCTACAAATGGGCCGGTAAGTTGTCAGATATTTTCCGATGTCATTTCACTTTATTGAATGAAGTTAAGTATTCTAAATGATACATTTTACATCTTTTCAGAAGTATTCTTGTAGTGTCTGTTTACAACAATATGCTGCCTAATCTTTCAGCAGATTAGTTTGTCTTTCATAACTTTGCCTATAGTTATGCCTTAGCGAATAGCTCAGAACGGCTTACTTTAGTAATATCCATCGGAATTGATTGCTGTAACTAAACGTTATGTAACACCAGGCAAACCCAATGACATTGCATCACCTAGCTAATTAATTTTCACGATGACAGAACTTCCATTCTCAACTCTGTTAATATTCACAATCAAAATAATCTGAAGTAAATTACTTTACACATTTAAATCATCAATCAATCATTGTTAGACCACCATTAGGAACCTGGAAGCACTGGACGGCTGTTTCGTCCTAGTATGTGACTAATCTCCATAAGTCTAATTGAAAATAAATTACTTTGTTAATCTTTTCTTATTCAAGTTAACAGCACTGGTTATTTCAAATTTTAGGACTCTGGTATTGTTTCTGATCCTAATGGTGCAAAAGGAAAGGTCAGTTCCCGTTTTTTGATCAATCTTATTCGATTGAAACAGAATCGTGTGGATTCATTTTATTTCATGGTTTCTCCTCAGCTACTTACAAATATATCAGTATTGAATTATTATGTCGTAGATATCGATAACTAAAAATTAAAATGACAACGAATACCATAATAATATATATCTGTATAATGAATAAGGATGTGTAGGTTAAAATGGAAATAGCAAACGCTCAGAGTGCTAAAGCAGCAACTATCAAGAAGTTGGAAAGTCATCCAGGAGATTGGGTAGAAATTACTGAAGTATTCACAAGTTTACGGATTCGGTAAATCGAAAAAAAGTTTCAAAATCGATAAAATAGTACTCAGTTGTGCAGAAGTTACATGATGATACAAATGCTGGTAGTGGTAATAATCGGACATGAATACGATCAAAATTACTAATTTATCATGGTATTTATAACCGACTCTTATTGAGTGCATAGATTCGCTTTTAGTTTTCTAATGATAAATGCTTCAGTGAAGTGTAAGAGAGTTTCAATCTTTATCTGCTGATAATTTCGAAACGTTAGTAATATGGCCGCTATTGATTTTATTTAGTGAGTGCACTATTCAGTGTTGTGAGACATTTCGCTCTCAAACCCTTTGGAACGTGCCCTTTGATAAGAACGTAAAATTTCTCTCCGTTTTTCCTGTTTATGTTTTAGAAAGCAAATCCACATTGATAAATATAACCTATAAAGGTTACTCATTTAATATTTGTCATCCAGCTACAATGGAATCGTCAATTCAAATCACATAGTAGTAAAGGTATTAGCGGTATTCGAAAAGATCAGGGATCTAAAATGTGATTCGTGAAGTATATCCCAGTGAAGTAAATTTAAAAAGAGAAAAAAGGTCTCGAGGAAGTCAGAACATTGAAGATAAAGAATCGATACATCTGCTCCATTTCAAAAGATTTCGAGTCTGCCCTACCGTGACTGTAGCTGTTACCTTGATGTGGTGGTCGGGCTTACCTATCGTGATGACCCAACTGAGGTATATTGGCTGGAACATATGTCCCTGTAGGTTCTACCATATCAGGCAGGTCGATTGGAGAACGGTGAGACTTAAAGCCGCTACTCAGGGTCTGAGGGAGAAGTCGTACTGTTGACTGTAGAGGGGTGCGACAGTAGTAAGGTTTTCCGCTCGAACAACCAGCATCTGAATTGATGCTGCCTTCTCACAAGGAAGGAAGGGGTTAGAAAAAGTCGACCCTAAAAGTGTCACACCTCACCTTACCTCACGGATTTCCGTCTCCAGCGGTAAGGTCTTTTAAACAAGAGCATAGCTAACACTTTAAAACCTCATAAGAAGGCCGTGCGTGACCGGCCTCAGTGGTAACGCTCTCAGGTCTCTAAGACCAACACTAATCTACCTAAATCTCGAGGTTGACATGGACAACACTGGATATAAAGGTGTCATGGACTGGGACAAAGGAGCGAAAACGGTGAGAGATTCGCGAATTTTTGTGCTTTCGTCAAAGTGATTGTAGGCAGCACCATATTTCTACGCAAATACATACACGAAGCAACATGGGTTCCGCCGGATCACACTACTCAGAACCGAATCGACCATATCTGCATCAACAAAAGTTCAATAAGACTATGGAAGATGTGATGACAAAGCCTCAGATCACTACTTGGTGGTAGCCAAGATAAAAATGAAACTAAAGAAGCGTTGGACAACGAACAGCATCGAAAAAGCCTTTCTCCAGGATACTGGCAAACTCAACGAATGCGAGGTAACTCTCAACAACTAATTCCTAGTCTTCCACGATCTACTCAATGAAAAGGAAGTTATCAAGGAAAGTTATTGGAAAGTGTTCAAAGAAGCAATAACTTCATCATGCCATGAAGTTTTAGGCCACATGAATCAAGCCAAAGCACAGTCCGAATATACAGAAGCTAACACACAAATGGAGAGGGGCAATGATAGCAGAAAAATTCTGCAAGAGAATACATGAGACAACTACACGATACAACGAAGAAGCTCATTGGAGAATATAAGAAACCAGAATCACCAGTGAAGAACAAGACAGGTGATTAGAACACTTCGAAAAACTCTTGAGTAGATCAACCTCACTGAACCCACCCGACATCGAAGCAGTACCTGCTGACAATCCAATTCATGTGGATCCACCAACAATTGACGACATCAGAATGGCTATCAGAGAAATCAAGTAAGGCCAGGCACAACGATCAGGCAATATACCAGCTGAGTCATTAAAAGTATACAAAACATTAATGAGGACGATACTCCATGCTCTCCTCAGCAAAATATGGGAGGAAGAACAAGCTCACAGACAGGTACATAGGGCACGTTGCAGAAAGCATCCGATTGTGTTAAAAGACAAGCTTTAGCTTGAATTCTTCAAGGCCAAAGGAAAACCGGAGTATACTACGTCGAAAATTGACAGCAGACTTGAAGAGTATTTATAGCGTTGGGGTGGGACTGGAAAGGAAGACTCAGGATAGTGTTAGTTGAAGAATGTTGGATTATGGCCTATGTTCCTCTAGGATAACAGGCGTTATTAAGTAAATACAATAATTCTATGAGAAGTTCTCTGTTGCGCCGTTCCTAAGCATGGGAGTTTTGACAGTCGAAAAACTTGTGTCCACAGATGACATGTACTTGAAAGTGTTGTAGATTTCTTTCCTCATGTTAGCATTCGTGAGTTTGGGTTTTGTTCATGAATTATTGATTTTTCCATTTACTCCCTAGATATGATTTTACACTGTTCTATTTATAACCCTAAATTTAGGATGTTACGGAGCAACTACAAACTTCCGAAAGTTGTGATGAAAAGCCAACAAAGGTTGATAATTCACATGGAAAATGTAAAAAGAACTCAAAAGTGTCTAATAAAAACCAGCGCTCTAAACGTTGAAATTCCCGGTAATACAAAAACTCATGAGCTTCCGTATTAAAATCTTGATCACTGTTTATTTTACCCATGTTTTCATATCCCTGTATATTTTATATCAATATTAACATTACTAATAAGCATCAATTTATTCTATAGCATTGATGGTTTGCTTTAAATTATATCTATCTGTTCTCAATAAAATTTGTTAAAATTAAATGTATGACCATTTCTTCTCAGGTTTCTTACTGACGTCAAGTCTCGTGTATGTATTTTTATTTTGTGACTATTGGACTTATAATTCTGTGGTTGTTGATTCAGCCGAAAAAGATAAAACCTTAAAAGAAATCATACTTTTTCCTTCACGTTGAAATATTGTAGCTGTCTGAAGTCAAGGTTAGAGACGAATTAAAATATTCTAGGAATTATTAAAAATTGCACATGGGGTTTAATTGTCCAACGTATACGAAAATTATAGCGCACTTAGTTTGGCTTAAGCAAACCACCTTTCTTATTATCAACTATTATTGTATTAATGGCATAATTATGAACTGTTGATGTGCCATTAAATTATTAGGTTCGGCAATAAATATCTTCTTACCATAACCCGACCGTAGCTGCTACCTTTACGTGTTGGTCGTGCTTACTTCTCGTGGTGACCCAACCAAGCTATGTTGGCTGAAAAATATGTTCCTTTAGGTCCTGCCATGCCACGCAGGTCGATTGGGGGACACAAAATCTGAGAGCAGCAACTTGAGGTTTGAGGGCGAAGTCGTACTGCTGACTTTGGAGAGGTGTGACTGCTGTAAGGTGTTTCCCTCGGACAACCAGCATCTGCAGCGATGCTGCCTTCTCACAAGGAGGAGAGAGGTTAGAAAAGGTGAACGATGAAAAAGGCACACCACACGGATTTCCATCTCAGGCGTTAAGGCCACTTGAAGAAAGGATCTAACACGTCAACTTACTACAAAGAGGCCGTGCGTGACCGGCCTCAAGCAGTTGTCTCTTGAGCTCTGCGGTCACGCTCTCAAGTTTCTAAGACCAACACTAATCCAAATTCTTTTTCAGGTTCCTCAAGAAATACCCATGCATAGTGTGGGCAGCCGGAAAGTGACATCCGCCCTCATACCCGTAACAGCACACGAGACCAACGTATTAGGCATCAACTCACTGCTATACTTTTCAATAACTCTCTTAACTCCATGATCAAACATGCTCACGTCCATTTATCACCTCGCGACGTTAATACAAACGATTCGAGTTCATATAACGTCATTCCTGGTCTTTTGAATTGCCGTTCTAGTTTAGAACATTTTGGAGCTTCTAATGTTCGCACCTTGTATCAAATAGGACAGTAAGCTTCCTTAGCTAGGACTTTAGAACCTCTCCCTATCAATGTATGCTGCATCTCCGAAACACTCATACACGATACCAGTAGAATCATTAATTTAACTTCACCTTTCTCAAATAAAGAACCGTCCCGATTTACTCTCCGTGTATCTGTAAGCCCTACTGTTGTCTCCCATGGTCTCGCTGGTGTAGATATAGCATTGAATCCTAGGGCAGAACTAACTCTCCTAGACTGAATCCCAGTAGACAGTCGCTTTTGCGCTGTCCGACTAAACGGGACAGTAAGGACTCGGAAAGATAGGGAAACGCCGTCGCCTCTTCGTTTTATCTGCCTACGCTCCCACTGACTGCAGTTCAGACGAGGTGAAAGATGAGTTTTACAGAAAGCTGCTCTGATATAGTAATAATGATTGGTGACTTCAATGCTCAAAGTAGGTAGACTAGGTGAGAAGAAAAGACACCTGGGTGGATCTTACGGTGTCGCGGCTCAAAACACAAACAATGCCGACCGTCTTTTGCAACTATGCTCAGATAACCGTCTATTTCTAGAAAGTACTAACTTTAAGCATACGGAAAAACAACTATTGTCATAGTGACCTAAACGTCTACTCAGTGATGGACCGAACTTGCTTTCAGCCACCGGTTGAGGGCTTCGATAAAAGACTTGCTCATTCTGAGCCACATATTTGAATTCAGATCATGCTCTAGTTCGAGCGCGTATTTGTTTATGACTTACTAGACCTAGGGAAGACAATGCATGGAAACCTTTGAGGACTCTACTAGATGTTAGCAAAACTGGGAATATATTTCAGGAACAACTAGAAAAACGGTTAGGCGATCATCCAGAAGAAGCTTAGAATAATATCCAGTAAGCTGTGGAAACAGAAGTGATATCTACCAGCAAGGTAAACCATAAGGTTAGGTAGAAGCCGTGGGTCTCGGTTTCATCTACCCAAATGATGTGCTCAGAAACGTCCCTTCTGGCTCCGAACATGACGAAGAGCGGAATAAGTTTAAGTGCAGGTTGATTAGCAATCTACGCAATGATAGCGAACAGTTGCACGTAGCCAAAGAGAGAGAGATGGAAAAGGTGGCGCCGATTGATAACAGTAGACAACTATTCAGAATTATCAAAAAGACCGGTATTAGGAATCCGACTGTAAGTGAGACTATCTCGGAAAGGGATAGCTTTATTATTCATTCTCAATCCGGGAGAAAGGATCGATGGGCAGAACAATTTGGGGATCAGCTCGACCGGCATTCAGTCACACTTTGGTAACCCACTATCTCCAGTCAACCTGAATGGCAACTTGGTGTGAACCCACCAACTCTTATTGAAGTTGAAAAGGTTTTAGGAAATCTGAAGACAGGGAAAACAGCAGGGTCTGATAAGCTAACCCGAGATTTCCAAGGATTGTGGTTCAGTTTTAGCAGTTCGACTGACTGCGATCTTAGCTAGAACCTGGAAATTGGGCGTAACCATATCCAACTTGTCTCAATCACTCATTTTCCAAATCTATAAGAAAGGACTAAGGTCACCCTGTGATAATCATAGAGGAATCAGTTTAACTAATATAGTGTCTAAAATATTAGCCTCGATAATACTTCGACGCCCAACCGAAGCTCGTGAAGAGCTGACTCGAGAAAATTACAGTGGTTTCAGACAGATAGATACAACGCAGAACTTCGTACGTACATACATCGGTTCAGGTTGCCATACCGCATTAGTAGAGACCCAACTATCAGTTCAAATCCCATAGTGGTAGCGATAGTAGAAGTATTAGCAGTAATGGAGAAGATTAGGGTTCGAAGATATGATTCGAGAAGTGGAGTGGTTTCAGACATGGACGCGGATGTATAGACCAGAAATTCACACTTCCACAAGTCCTGGAACACAGACACACATTTCGGCGTCCGACAATTGTTGTATTCCTCGACCTTAAGGCAGCGCTAGACTCTGTCAATCGTGAGGTTCTATGGTAGTGCCTGTCATTGAAAGGTGTATCAAGCAATTTTATTAACCTCATACAGGCTCCTACTCGAACATTAATGGTCGAGTCAGAGCTTACGGCGAACTGTCATCAGAATTGATTACTTCAAGTGGTGTTCGTCAGGGCTGTCCACTCCCTCCATTCTTGTTTAACTTTGTCGTTAACGTGCTTTTAGATACAACAATTCTGTCATCTGATTTTTCAGAAGTTGAACTTTTACCAGGAAATTCGCTCGTCGACTTAGAATATGCCAACCACATAGCTCTATTTAGTGAAGACGCTGACAAAATGCAGTCTTCTGACCACCTTAAGCAACAATACAAACATAATCGGAATGCGATTCTCCCCTTCGAAATGCGAAGTGTCGCTTCAAGATTGGCTTGCATCGGCACCTGTATTAGTCATATAGAGTGAAGCAGTTGACCGTGTTGATCACTTCATTTATCTTGGGAGTCTCATCAGTGATGATGGCCTGGTGTGCAACAAAACCTCAGCAAGTATACAGAAGGCTCGAATGGCTTTCGCCAACTTGCACCATAAGAGATATCCGTCTACTAACCTAACGACGGGCCTACTGAGCAGTATTTAGCTCCATCCAACTATATGGATATATTAGTAGGTTGTTAGTATTCGATCATAGCCTCCTTCGATATCCTGTGACAATCGAGTATGCAATGCTGTTGTAGGGAAACGGGTACTAAGTAAGGGCGGCAGATCAATACATGAAGTCTTGAAACTTCATCAGTTGAGGTGGTTGGGACATGGGTTACGAATGTCCAACCATCGGCTGTCTCGTCGAGCTGTTTTGTGGTGTAGGGGTGGGCTGAAAGAAAGCTAGGGCAGGCCAAACCAAAACATGGCACAAATCCATCAAGTCGCTGACAAGTGGACTGAGTCATATTGATACTTGTAGACCACCAGATTGGGATCCGTGAGATGATAGTAACCGATGGTCAGAGACCTTGAATGACATGGCTCAAAACCGTTTGCAATGGCGCTGGAGCAACTATTCTTTGTGTTCTCCCATGTTGTTTGTCTCAAATCTATTTCACTTGATTATACTCAGTCAGTCAGTTGCAACGTAGAACTTCGTACGTAAGTACATCAGTTCATGTCGCCATACCGCATCAGCACAGAGATGTAGCTGTCAATTCAAATCCAATAGTCGAAGAGGTAGTAAGGGTATTAGAAGTAATCGGAGAGGTTAGGATGAGAAGATATTATTCAAGAAGTATGATTAACTGAGAAAAGTTTAGAAAGAATCCAGAAGTTTAGGATTTGAGAGAACACAAAGAATAAATGCACCGGCGCCATTGCGAACGATTTTGAGCCATGTCATTCAAGGTCTCTAACCATCGATTATTATCATCTCGCGGACCCCAACCAGGTAGTCGACAATTACCGACATGGCTAAGTCCACTCGTCAATGACTTCATGGATTTCTGCCATGTTTTGGTTTGGCCGCCCCTAACTTTCTTCCAACCTATTCCTACACTACAAAGCAAAGCTCGTCGAGGCAGTCGGTGGTTGGGCATACGCAACACATGTCCCAACCACCTCAACTGATGAAGTTTCAGTACTTCATCTATTGATCTGCCACTCTTACCTAGCACCCGATTCCTAATAACAGCGTTGCTCACTCGGGTGTCCCACGATATACGAGCAATGCTTCGAAGGCACCTA